GAGGCGGAGGCAGAGGCGGAGGCAGAGGCGGAGGAGGAAGAGGAGGAGGAGGAGGAGGAGGAGGAGGAGGACGAGAAGGAGGAGGAGAAGGAGGAGGACCGACGAGGCTTCCGCTGGCACGTCCCGGCCCAAGCGGCGGCGGCGGGCTGCTGGGCGGCCGCTCGGCGGCGGCGGCGGGCGGCGGCGCCTGCCACCGACGCCGCGCCGAGCGCGAGGCCGAGGATGGCCGCCTGCTCCGCCGGGGGCGGCCCCACCGCGGACGCCGCGGCCGCGCTCCTGCCGGCGGACGGGGCCCCCCGCACGCGCGCGAGGCCGCGGGCGAGGCAGCGCCGAGAGAGCGGCGCCGCGCCAAACCGCGCCGCCGAGCGACGCCTCCCCCTCTTCCTCCTCCTCCTTCTCCTCCTTCTCCTCATCCTCATCGTTTGCCTCCTCTGCCTCATCCTCCCATATCTCCTCTTTTTCCTCCTCCTCCTCCTCCTTCTCCTCTTCCTCCTCCTCCGCCTGAGGCCTCCGCCTCCGCCTCATCCTCCTCCTTCTTCGTATGTTTAGTATTCGTCTTGTTCTCCGTCTCCTTCTCCGCCTCCTCCTCCTCCTCCTCCTCTTCCCTTTCCTCCTCCGTCCTCCTCATCCTCCTCCTCCTCTTCCTCCTCCTCCTCATTATCCTTATCTTTCCTTTCCTCCTTTTTTCCTCCTCCTCCTCCTCCTCCTCCTCCTCCTCCTCTTCCTCCTCCTCCTTATCCTCCTCCTCCTATCCTCCTCCCGTTCTCCTGTTGAAGGCTTCTTCCTTGTCGCACCCCCAGACGTGTCCGTAGGGCGGGCTGGGCATGTTGCCTGAGACTCCTTCACCGCATGATCCTGAACATTGATATGTGAAGCAAAAGCAAAATCACGGACGAAGAGGGTGTCGTTTTCCGCATGTGGCTCTCGCCGTAGCGCCGCGCACATGCGTCTGAAACGTGTGTACTCAAGGACGGAGGGCAGGTCGTTCCCAAAATGTGGTTCTCGTAGTAGCGCCGCGCGCATTAATGTTACAAGTTCGCTACTTCCTCAGGGATGGAGGGCGGATAGGTTTCAAAGTGTGGCTCTCGCCTCAGCTCCGTGCAGGCTCGTCTCAAAATGTTGCAACACTGTCAAGGATGGAGGGCAGCTCCTTCCAACATGTGGCGCCCGCCTTGGCGCTGGGCGCATTCGTTTTCAAAGTGCGCAACATGATTAAATATTCGCATGGTTGAAAGCCCTGGAACGATGTCCTGCTAGGATCAGGGCTGTCGGTACGCGACAGTAACATTGATGCGCGGTGTTCCATTTGAAAGCATGAGATTCTGCCACGAGCGGGGATTGACGGGACGCAACAATCAGGTTGATTCGCGGCGTTCACGTTTGAAGAAATGTTTTTGGTACGACTGAGCAGTCTAATAATGTTGCCTTCTAATGAGGCACTTCCCGCAGTGAAAATCGATGTTGTCGGGACGTATGGAGAAGTGAACTTGGAGGGAGGGTGTATTCAAACATTGTGCATGCGCTTTGAGCTTACACTAGTCCTCCTCCTCTTCCTCCTCCTCCTCCTCCTCCTCCTCCTCCTCCTCCTCCTCCTCCAACGCCACCGTCCCCGCCTCCGCCTCCGCCTCCGTCTCCTCCTCATCCTCCCCCTCCTGCTCCTCCTCCTCCTCCTCCTCCTCCTCCTCCTCCTCCTCCTCCTCCTCCCTGCCTCGCCTCGGGTGGACGGTAAGAGGGGTGGAGGTGGAGTCGGAAGTCCTGAACAAAGACGACGCGGCGGGCCTTGTCCTCGTCCCCAGACCCCCTCGCGTTGCAACAAAAACCGCGGCGGGAAGATGTTTCGCTATTTTCGGCCTCTGTGGGCCCTTGGGACCGTCAAAAAGCGACTCTGGTTGAAAGACTGGTCCAGCGGAAGGAGTCCAGACCACTGGGGGTCGACGTTGCCCCCCCAAAAAACATGACGTCGGGGGTCTGGGTATAGAGCAACGAGATCTATACACATCCACTGCCCTGGGCCTGGCCCATCCCGGGTCCAATAGCGGTGTGTTAACCTCCCTGGCCAAGCCAGCAGTGCGTATGCACCGCTCCTGGGCCCAGGATGAGCCAGGCCTGGGGCAGTGGGTTGCATATAGATCTCGTCGCCCTGGCAGATCCCCATCCCTATGATTGGCACCACTTCGTCTCGGCAGTGATCTCAGGGGTGCTCTCATGTTCTGGGGCCGCATCCCTGAGATTGTCATCGCCCTGGGCTTGTCGACCTCGAGGCTAGGGAGAAGCTCGAGACTGGCTAGCCTCCGACTCGAAAGCGCTGGGCGTTCAGAGCGAGCGGGCACGCTCGGGGTGGGCTTCCCAGAGGCAGCGCTGCCCACGCGAGGTGCGCCCGAAGCGAGCGGGCACCCAGGGCGCACGAGAGGGGCGCGCGAGGGGCACAGGGCCAGGGCATTCGTGGCGACGGAGCTGCTGAAGCGGGCAGCGAGAAGCTTGAAAGGCAAACCCAGGCCGGAAAGAACAGCACGAGAAGCCTGAGGGGCTGGTCCGTCTCACGAGAACGGTTTCGACGAATCTACAAGTTTCCCGAGCAGTGATGCGGCAATGACAAGCACGCGGTTGAGCAAGCATGCAGGTGTACGCACGAGCGGGGGCACATGTAAAACAGCAGTCCTGCGAGGAAGGACGCAGCAACGCACGCCTGCAAACAGAGAAGGAAGCAAGCGAGGAAGCATGCAAAGGAGCATGTAAGGAAGCATGCAAATAAGCATGCAAGCAATCACGAAAGCAATCGCGAAAGCGAACAAGCTTGAAAACACGAAAGCGAGCTATCTCTAAAGCAAGCACGGAAGCACGCACGCAAACCATCACGCAAGCAATGAAGCGAGCGGGCAGGTAAGTGAGAAAGCAGACAGCCAGCTGGGACGCAGGCAAGCAATCAAGCAAGCAAGCAAGCAAACACGCGAGCAAGCAAGCACGCATGCAACTAAGGCGGGAAACATACAAGGAAGCATGAACGCTGAAACGCAAAGAAACAAACAACATAGCACGCACACAAGAAACCTTAGACAAACAACACGGATTTGGATTCAAGTCTGTATTCAACTCAGAATCGGGTCCGAGTCTATGCGGAATATGGGGGTACCTGGCTGAGGTGACTATCCCGAGCCAATGTTTCAAGCCAGTGCCAAAACATGTGTAAATTAGCACATGCAGAAAACACACGTGACAAGACAACGATAACAAACCCGTGGCATGATTAAAGGCGGCCGCTGTAAATCCGAGGGAACACATTACACTGATACCATTTTAATGGCTTCAAGTATGACACCGGCTGAACATGCAAACGGGGGAAAGCGTATAAAAAAACACTCGAATTCCACATGAACGCACATATACGACCTTAGCGCGCTGTGGCAACATTAAACGCTTGAGTTCTGTGTCATTGGTCGAAGTGCGACGTATGTATATCACCACGATGAACACAAGTACCTGAGACGATGATCACTGGCACGATGTTATAAAGTGACGGGAACCCCGAAGTCACGTGATGGAGTGCATGACCGCGCGCTTGCGAAACAGCTACAGCTCGCGCCGCGGGGGGGGGGGGGGGGGGCGATCAGGCGCGATGACGGCGATTGCGTGCGTGCGCCGTGGACTCGGCACTGATCTGCAGCATGGAGTCTGCTCTATCCATGAACGAGTCCTCGTCCGCCTCCCCCTCGTCGGACTGCTGCATGCTCTGCTTCGCTGCCAGCGCAAGGGGGCTGGCGGCGAACGTGGGCACGACGGAGTCGTACAGGATCCCGCACGACCCGCAGACCCAGACCTGGTGTTAGGTCGGGCATGTCCCCCTGCAGGCGAGTTGTGGACGAAGCACGTATTATGTTTATTCTTAGTGTTTGTTTTTGTTGCTTTTAATCGTCAAAACTAATCCGAAGAGAATCGAAAAGTTGTCCCAAAACTATGTGCTCACTATTCTTGACTGCTCCTCCTGTGGAGGGACACGCCCGACCTGCGCAAACCTGGGGGGGCACCGAGCCCGTGCCCACACCGAATGCTCCCCAACTTAGCTGCCCCGATACGCAACACGCAACACGCAACACGTAGCGTATCGATACGGAGCTCAACACGTAGACTGAACACGTAGGTCTGACGCGATACGTTCGCCAAAACGTGGGCCAACACGTTGAGCCAACACGCAACGTATGGACACGGACGTTTTGAACACGGCACGCATTGCGCCTCAAAACGGGCGTATCGAGGCACCTAAAGGCTCCCCAAAGCCCCTCCCCGGGCGCACCCTGGCCAGGAGCCCGCGGCGCACGCGGCCTCGTGGCGGCGACGGCCGCGCGCGCAGGCCCTGGAAGGGGCGAGAGCAGGGCGCAAAGACCGCACTGGATCATTTGGGGGACAGAGAAGGACCCAAAAAGAAGCAGGGAAGGAAGAAGCAGAAACGAAGACAAAGACGACACGACGAAGAAGAAGAGGGGAAGAAGACAAGACGCGGACGAAGAAGACAGCGAATAAGCGGAACGAAGAAGAAGAGGAAGACGAAGAAGCAAGACTAGAACACCAGCAGAAGCAGAAGACTACCGAATAAGCACGCACAGAAAAGAAGAAGCACGAAAACGGAAAAACACGAACAAGACGTAACGCGAAGCGAGCAGAGAAGACGAAGCAAGCCGACGACGAAGCGGCAGCCGAGCCTAAGACGCCACCTCATCCACCTCCTCCTCCTCCTTTATTCCTTTCCTTCTGCCCCTCCCTCCCCCCCTCCCCCCTACTCCTCCCCCTTCCCTCTCCTCCTCCGCCTCACCCTTTCCTACACCTCCCCCCCCACCCCCCCCCCCCCCCCCTTCCCCCTTTTCGCCTCCCCCCTCCCCCTCCCCCTCCCCTCTGGGGGCCTTCGGCGGGCCGCCCTTGCAGCCCGTGCCCTCCTCCGGCTGGTGGTCCCAGCCGCAGTACTGGTCTTCCTGCTCCCCCTCGTGTCGGAACAGGCGGATGTGGCCACGCTCACCCCAGTTGGGGCCCCAAGAGTTCTGGATCTGCCAGTACTTCACGTTGCGGATCTTCTCCTCGCCATAGCCGACGAGCACGGCCGCGTGGTTCACGACGGCGCCCTTCTCACAGGCGTCCATCACGCCGCTCTGGTACTTGTTCCACTGGTCGCCGGCCGAAAGCGACACGCTCACGGGGCCTTCCTGGAAGACCGCCATGAGGAGGGGCGCGTACATGTTCTCCGGCAGTTTCCTCCAGCTGGTCATGCCGAAGCCCGTCGTCTCAGCGGGCTGGACGCTTCCGCCGCCGCCGCCACCCAGGTGCATCCTCTCCCTCAGAGACTGGAGGAAGCCTGGCTTCTTCAACTGCGAGCCGCTCGGGCAGTCGACCATCTTCGCCTGGTAGTCCATGGCCTCCTCCTTCATGATGGCCATCCTGCTCGCGTACGAGATGGCGAGCTCGGCCGTGGCCCCGTGACAGCCGCCCTCGCCGCCGCAGTGGTTCGGGTTGGGGGTGCAAGAGAGGAGCTGCTGCACGGAGAAGCTGCGGTCCTGCTGCAGGTACAGCTCGCTGTGCGCCCGCAGCATGGTTGCTGTGGCGAAGGCCCAACAGCTGGAGAGCATATATTCTTTCGCGGCCCTACCGGGCGTTATGGGCGAGGAAGGGCGGGGGGAGGCATAACGTGACGCCCCCCTCCCCCCCGCCGCGTGGCTCTGGCACAACAGCGCTTGTGCGCATCACAGCATGCACAACACTGCCCAGCGCAGCATACACCACCGCAGCCGCGTGCACCACCTACGTACTGCGCAGCGCACGCGTGCATCACGGTGTTTGTTTGTCTTCGCACCCTCCGTCGAGCAGTATTTTGTGCTGGTGTTTGCTGCCACTGTGCTGCATCTACTTAGCAAAGCACAGAGTTCGCAAATACTCTGCATCTGCTGCCTGCAGAACCAAAACGTAACACGAACAATGTCCCAAAAATTGTACCGCGCTGCCTGTCCCGATGCATGCTGCATGCATGCGCCACAATGCTGGCGTGCACTGGCGCCTGCGTCCACCACAGCAGCCGCGTTCACCGCAGCGCCTGCGCACACAGCAAAGTCTGCGTGCACCACAGCGTTTGCATACACCAAAACGCCTGCGTGGATTACACGTCTGTTGTGGAAATGGCTTCTGGGAGGGGTATGGGCGCCCCTCGGCCCGAAGGGAGAGGCGGACAGCAATGGTGCCTGCAAGCACGTACAATACGGGCGAACAGTTGCGAGAACACAACTACACTTCTGTCCGCACCCTGGTACCTTGCGAGTACCGCGACGACGACCACAACGACTACGACGACGATCGTGACGACTACGGAGAGTACGACGACCACGAATGTCACGACGACGGTCACAACGACGACCACACGCGGACGACGACGTTTACTACGACCAAGACGAATACGACGACCACGATGAGTACGACGACGATAACGACGATCACGACAATCACAAGAACGATCACCACGACCACAAAACGACCACGACGTCGACTACGACGACACCCTCCACGCTCCCTCCTCCTCCTTCTCCGCCTCCTCATCCGAATATCACTTTTACTGCTACGACTGTTGCCACTAGTCCTGCCACCAATGCCACTACCGCAACTCTCGCGGTCCTGCTTGCACCCCGGCGCGCCTGCGCAAAAAAAAGCTAGACCTTGCATGTGCGAAAGTGGCCTAGCGCAGCAGCATATCTGCGAGCACGGGCAATGAGCCTGCCATCGCCACGCTAGAACGTGAACGCTGAGGTAGCCTGCGAGCACCACAGCAGCCTGTGAACCTCACCATGGCAATGCCGGAAGCGCGCAAAAAGAGGGGGGGAGCGTTACGTTATGGAGGGGGAGGAGGGGATGGCCCAACGCGCGTTCTGGCCCAGAGGGCTTTTTCTTGTTGAGCAAAACAAAAAGACTCTCCTGCCGCACTCGCCCTGGTCGCGGACGTTTGACATTGCCTTCAGCCGCCCGACCCAGCTCCAGGCCTTGGGGGCCTTCGACACGTCCACGACGCGCCTGTCTGTGCTAAGGAAGGATGCCTCGCCCGCGTCCCCCTCGACGGCCGCCCCCGCCCCTCGCCGGTAGCCCCGCAGCTTGGCGAGCTCCTCCTTCGTTTAGGTCGGGCGTGTCCTCCTACAGGCGGATTCGAAACAAAAGTTGTTTTTAAAGCAAAAAACGAAAATAACCACAAAACATCAAAAATACACAAAAAGATCGTCCGCTTACTTTTGCATGTTTGAATATTCTTCCTGCAGAGGGACAGGCCCGACTTAATCCTTCGTGCGGTCCGCCAGGTGGGTGATCGCCGCCTCCCAGTTCCTGTGGGGGTTGCTGTTGTGCCTCCTCACCTCCTCCGCCTGCACCCGGTACAGGTCCTCCCGCATGGCATACTCCTCGGAGCCCTTCTTGTATGTGCGGCCGTACGCCTTGACAAAGGCATCGAACGTCATGTTGCTGGTGAGGATCGCTCTCAAGCGCTCCTGCGACTCAAGCGTGCGATCTGCGCCAAGGAATGCCGAGCCACCAAAAGCACGCGCTCGACCTATCAGGACGGCCAGGCTCCCGAGCAGCGCAGCTGGCATCGGGAAGTACATGGTCGCCTGCAGGGGGGTCAGGCGATTCAGGTACGAACAAAAGGAAAGTACATGTAAGGAAACGCCCCTACTTAAGCAGCGGCTTTGAGCCAGAACGGCTACGAACGAAGAGGAGGGGAGGAGGACGCCATGGACGCCTCGCAGACAGAAGGAAGCAGGCAGAAAGCAGGCAGGACAGGGCAAGAAGGGGAGGACACACTTCAAAGTATCAACAAAGGGTGTCGTTTTATGGGTCATGGGGGCTGGAACGAGCCTCTGGGCCCTGAACTTCGAGGCGTCGACCGCATGGTTCTGTTCAGGACCCCGGCCTCTCGGCCCCCCCAGCCCTTACCGCGTGTCGAGACAGAAGGGGCCGCCTCGGTCGACACTGACGTTCCCGGACCACGATCAAGAAGGCGCAGAAACTGCCAGATAACTAATCACGCACACACACACATACACAGATACACACATACACGCATATATACATTTATATATATATATGTATGTATGTATGTATGTATGTATGTATGTATGTATGTATGTATGTATGTATGTATGTATGTATATGTCTGTATACATATATATATATACCCATGCACATGCATGCACACACCCACACCAAACACATCACACACACACGAACACAAAAAAACACGCACGCACGCATGCACGCACACACGCGCACACACACAACACACAACACAACACATACACCCACACATACACCCACACATACACAAACACAAAACCACACACAAACACTACGCACACACGCTTCAAAGTAGCAGCCCGATGGGATCCAATCGACTTGTCCAGATAGTCACCGCACCTAGCAAGAAAGTGATAACCAACTGACAACAAGCCAGGCACGCGCGCACACACACAGGCATGAGCGTCATGAGGCGCTGTGCATAGCACGAACGCGTGAAATGTGGCGGGGGGACGCAACATGAACGCCACCAGCCCTTTAGGGCGTGAGTGGTTGAAAGCGTTTCATCTTCTAACCCCCCTTCTTCTCCTTCGGGGAAGAGTTTATAACTGCTCCCTACTAATAAGCACCCCCTGCCCAAGGCGACCAGTAGCCAAACCGAACCCATGAGGGCACCCACGATCGCCCCCACACACCATCCCCTTCACAAAACAATACAAAATACACGTTGCCTCCACATGTGAAACATACGCGGGTGCCCGCAACCACTTTGCATTGGTTTTAATCGTTGCTTAATCTGCGACCAGCGGCCATGCAGGAACAATGCCGACCCCATGCTCACCCCCCTCCCCACCACCCCTGCCAAAAAAAACAATACAAACAAAGTCTCCGACTAAAATTCGGAGCATGCGCAGCCAACCCCGTGCTGGCCCCCTAACATCCTGTTTTTTAATAAAAAAAAAACTTACACTTTGGGGTGAAGTCTTGGGTCATGTACGCGAAGCCCACTACAAGTTTGTTCTTGACAGGGACGGCGGGGGTGTCAGCATATTGTCCGCTATGTGCAGGGCCACCATCCCTTTCAAAAAAACAGTACAAAGTGCCGCAGGGCCACCATCCCCTGTCAAAAACATCACAAAATCCACATCGCGGCTAAACCTGGATCATGCGTGGCCGCTCCGCGATCACTGTCAAGTGGTTTTGACAGGGACGGCGGGGATGGTGGCGTATGGCCTGCTGTACGCAGACCCACCAAACACAATGATGGGCATTGGTTTTCGGCGCGGATGGTGGGGGCCGCCATGTTTCCCGATGTGCCGCGGCTGGAGTATGCGGCACACCTGGCGCGCGTGGAGCACGTGGCGCATCTGGCGCACCAGGCGTGCCTGGCGCGCTCGGGCCCCAGGGGTGCCTGGCGCGCGTGGCGCGCCTGGACCGCGTGGCGCACCTCGCCCCAGCGTCGCGCACATGGGTTCGGTTTTGGTTCCCAGTAGCTGCATCCATCGGGTGTTTTACCTATGTGTTGGCAGGGCGGGTGGGAGTGCGCTAGACTGCGCTTGCTATCGAGAAGGGCGTCTTGATCACAGTTCCAGATTAATGTACACCCCCTCCCCCAGGCGACCAGCAGCCAACCAGGAACCATGCTCACCTCCCCCCCACAATCACTGTCAAAAACCAAGACGAAACGCACTCTGCCTCTACATTTGGAGCATGCGCGGCAAACCCGATGCGCCCCCCCCCACTACCCCTTTTCAAAAACAATGCAAAGTACACTTTGGGGCAAAACCTTGAGTCATGTTCGTAAGGCCCGCGAACACGTTGTATTGTTTTTGACAGGGACGGCGGGGGTGTCAGCATACTGCCATCTGTGCGCAGGGCTTTCATCCCCAACAAGAAACAATACAAAATGCACATCGCGACTAAACCTGGATCATGCGTGGCCACTCCGCGATCACTGTCAAGTGGTTCTTGACAGGGACGGCGGGGGTGGTGGCGTATGGCCTGCTCTGCGCAGGCCCACCAGACAAAATGATGGGCACTTCGACAAGGATGGTTGGGGGCCGACACGTTTCACGATGTGTGCTGTCACGTGCGCAGGCGCACCCGACGCACTCTGCGCGTGCCCCGAACGTGGCGCACCTGGCGCGGCTGGAGCATGCGGCGCACCTGGCGCACGCGGAGCACGTGGCGCATCTGGCGCACCAGGCGTGCCTGGCGCGCTCGGGCCCTGGGGGTGCCTGGCGCGCGTGGCGCGCCTGGCACGCGTGGCGCGCCCTC